GGGTTATAGTTTAATCTTGATTTAGACCTTAGAAGATAGGGACCATACCATGGGGGGGGAGGGGGGGGAGCCCGCCGGGGCGTGACCACATATATATATATATATAATAAAGTTACATTGGGATACTGGAAAAGAAAATGGAACTGCTATATTATACTGGGGGTTATATAGGGGTTATATAGGGATAATGGAAAAGAAAATGGAAACTACAGGGATTATGGGGTTTATACTGGGGTATATTTCTATATAGTAGGGTTACATTGGGATAATGGAAAAGAAAATGGAAACCCCAATGGAAACTATAGGGATGATATAGGGTATATATTGGGGTTACATTGGGATAATGGGAAAAAAAGGAACCCCCCAATAATGGAAAATAAAATGGAAAATGAAATAGAAACTATAGGGATTATATAGGGTATCTATTGGGGGGGAGGGCCAACATTGAAGAACGCCAGAAGGTCATCGGCTGGCAGCTGTGGTAGGGAAGGGCGAAATAAAGCGATTTCATCGGCTGCCACACTCTGCGCTTTGGATGCGTAGGTAAAAACATAACGACCACCAACTTGAGAACAACGGAAGAGGTCGGAAATCTATGTTGGCGTGACGGGAGTCTCTGTTTACGAAGTGTTGAAGACAGCTCATTTGAATGTTGTGGGCTTTGGCTACAAGTGTCCAGGAGTTGGTCGGTGTTCATTTGGTCAATGGCTTAATGCGGTCTGCTGAGACTGGTTCTTGCCAAGGTTCTAAGCTCCGGAGGCGTTTTTGGCATGCGCGGAAAGGCTCATATTCTTTCTGAAAATAGAATACAACCCAATGATGTAGTGAAGTGTACGAAGACCTGAAATGCTTACTTCAGTTTGCATAAGATAATGCTTGTGGAGACCCTTGCCTAAGATTTTTGGAGTTTTTTTGGGAATCCGGCAATCCGACAACAAGACTCGTGCCCCCCCAAGCCCAGCCTTTCTTCACTCTTGTCAGAGGTTGTTGTGGGCTCCGACCCTGAAAGATTTGGAGGCAGCGGGCATTGGGCGACCTGGGTAGCTCATGTTGGGCAACTCCACATGTTGGTTGTCTCCATTTTCGGAACAGGAGCTTATAGGCTGACGTCATTGCTTTCAAGAGTTTCTGGAAGCGAGCCTTAAATGGAGATTATCCAAGAAGCAGAGTGCTAGGAAAGAGAAGTTCGGCTTTTCGCTCCTCCAGTCTCCAGCATCAATCTCCCTGATAAAGTGCTGCGTCGAGGTTGCCCTTAGCAAGGGCAACCTGCTAACGCCGCACCCAAATCCCCAACACCCAACTCGAACGCTCCGACCACCCGTGGAGACCTATGAAACCCAACTAATTCCTGGCAGAATCGGCTTTGTACAGGAGAAGGGAAAGGTTCTGGCGGCAAGAAAAATGTATTGATTGCTGGGTTTGGGGACGGATACTGGCTTTGATTTCCCCTGTCCCACAGAAACGACGTTCGATGAATGAGGTGATGACAGCATCATCAAGTAATGTTTCAACCGAGTTTCCAGCATATATTCCAGCAATCAGTCTTGCGCGCAGCCGCTTGTGTCAGCAAGATGCCCGAGCCCCTTATGGACAGGTGCCTATGAGGCAAAAGTTGTCCGAGTGGATGCACCAACACCGTCAAACTACTCAGACCCTTGGCCATTTGCACGAAGGGTTCGAGGGGCTTAAGATCGGGTTTCATCGTGGGAGCTTTGTTGCGTAAGGTGTCTCTCTGCTTAAAGGTCTGAGGGCGCTGTTGCCCGTTTGGGTGTGGCTTGAAGGCTGAGAGGGGTTTTGGTGCAGAGATCTAGTTGAGAGGCTGAGCACACAGTTTAGACTTGGCTGTGTTCTCGGGATTTATTACGCTGAAGCGCCCACATGGACGAAAAGCGCGGTCTAGCAGTGGCATAGTGTTTGAGGGTATCAGGTTTGAGACGGAAAGCGGCTGGGGTACAGCAAAAGGTGTCTCACCTACTGGTACCGTGGCCCTCAGAACACGCAAGCGCCCGCTTGGCTTGGTTGGGTCCTCATACTAGGCCGCTGCTATGCTCCAAATCTCACACATGTTGGAGGGGCATGTGGATTTCCGGGTCTCGCAAGAGTCGGAGATTTTTGCTTGGATCGCAAAGGCAAAAGGCTCAGCACTGGCATGCCGCGACAATTGTCAAGCGCAACTAGCACCACGAGTCTTGAGCCGCTCCCGGAGCCACGTCAAGATCTCAAGAAACTGTCCAAGCCTTGACTCAGGACACCTACATGCATGAGGGCTTAGTCATACGGAGCAAGAGCCCGACACCAACCAGGGCACGCATGGCACGGGCCTTTGGCGAGGGATACTCGTTAGACTTTTGATTTCGAAGCAGTGAAATACATTCTGTTCGCAGGGCTTGCCTCGGGGTGAGGACTGTGAAATCGTTGAGTGTCAGCCGCACGGATCGAATTCACGGCAACTCCTGCAGCAAATTCTCGACCTGCATGATCCTCATGTCAATTCCACATTCTCAGAATTGCGCTCTCAAAGCCTTAGTGGATCGAGCAGTTTTCATTTGTGTGGAGGGCTGCGGAGCAGGGCTCAGCACGAAGATGGGATGATGTAACCCAGCTTCTCATGCCGAATGCTGAAGTGGCTGTAAGAACAGCTTAGGTTTCGGAGTTGGGGATGCTGCGACGCGGAATGTGTTGTGGTTCAAGCACTGGGTATTTGCGCGTATACAGTAACCCTTGCATGCAGCATAGATCAGAATCTGTCCCCTGACCATAAGGCCAGCATCTAGGATCTGTGCTCACATCAGGTTTCTGGAGTCGCTACCGGGGCCGTCACGCCCACAACCTTTGCACCTCAGGCGGCTAAAGCCCCTGAGATCCATGCTCTTGTGGCAGTCTTTGGGAGTATTGGGTACAGCATCGGGTTTTCAAGACGTCTGTGAGTGAGGGGTTTTAGGAGGTGTTGCGAGCCTTTCACAGGGGGTTCCACTTGGTACCAACGGCTGTGACACACACTTCAGGCGGTGAAGACGTTCAGGTTTGGGAGTGATGGGTTGGCGCTAGGGTTTGTCATGTCTCTGTGTTCCGTTAGGTTCAGCGCTACGTTATCTAACCCTTCAGTAAAGCAATGTGGGTATGGATGCGTGGAGTAAACGTTTGGTAGCCCAATCGAAAATTCTGCCCAGGATGCTACAAGCTCAAAGCCTCTTCTGAGATGCCTGAACCCCTCAGTGCTTCTTGGCCCAAAACTTTGGGTCGCAGGCTTCCGCACCTTGCCAGGCATGCGGCAGCACCTATGCGGCCTGAGTGCACATTATGGCTCTTTCAGTGTAGCGATTCGCATTGAGTTTGCTTCTGCTGTTCACAGGGGTTGGCTCCGGGATGTAAAGGTTTCGACAAGCTCCCCCTGGAATCCTTAGAACCTGAACCTGCACCACTGCACCGTCCATCAGAGCATGTCGTTCGTGAATTGAGGCAGTGTAGGGTAAACTGCTGATGCTTGTGTTTGTTGGCCATTTGAAGGAAACCCTCACCTCAAGAAACCAGAAAAAGGCATTTGACGTCTTCTGAACCTGCCCGAATCAAGCGCAACATCTCTCTTGCCGCATGGTCAAAAGCCTTATTCAAGAACGGATTCTGTGAGCGACTCTGCAGCCTGTGAAGCCGTGAAGCCTCTCTAAGCAATCCAAACTTGCCGTGTGCAAAGTGTGGGACCAGCAGAAGAAGGTGCGTGCGTATAGTCCCCCTTAAGTAGATAGAATATGGTTTTGGGTGTATTATAATAAGATCCCCATATACCCCATGTTCTATCTACTTAGGGGGGGCTATAGATAGGGGCATCGTAACGATGAAGCAGACTAGGTGGATCCACGGTTTCGGCAGGACCCAGCGCAGGCCAGCCAGGTCAAAGTGCTTCAGGAAGTTGTGTTTGTTTGGAAAACACGGACCAGGAAAGCTTCTGAATTGATTGGAACTGGCGTGCACATTGGATATGCCTTGGATGCTTTTGGGGCCAAGTTACGTGCACCAGTCTCTCCAACAAGATGTATTGAGGCCTCATGTTGAGATGTGGCTTGACAGTTTTGCAAGCATGGAAGTAAGCCTTGAGAGATCTGGACCATTTCGCCCTTAAACCCGAGACGACTCCTCTCTGTCTTCCCAATCCGTTTGGAATCCTTGCACAGTAGACTCTGCAGATGAACGCACTTGGTAGCCCTTTTTGGGACATGGTCACGTGATGGTCAGTCCAGTCTAGCTCTAGTTGTGAGCCGCGTAGAAGTGGCACCCATGATCAAAGGGAGCCGGGGTCGTCATCCACTGACCTCCCAATACCCCAAGTTTCGGGCACAGACCTTGCAAGCAAAAGCCAGGTGGCGAACGCTGGGCCGAGCGCGCCATACGGCTATCCAACAGGCAGTGAATCCATTCCAGTGATTAAGGGTTTGGAGAAATTCAAGGGTTTTGGAGCAGCAGGCCTTCGAAGAGAGCGTATATGGAGAAGCTGGAGGATTGGGCGCATTTGAAGTCGTCACCAGGCAGCCAGCTGCCTCAGCCAGGGCCTGGGAGCTTCGTTTCCGAGCCAGTGGGCCAGCTTCTTGATAGCATTTAGTGACGATTGGGAAATACCAAACTTAGACACAAAGCCAAAAGCTGGGGTTGAGTAATCAAGATACACAGAGCTGAGATTAAATGATTACATGTCAATGTGATATTGAGTGCAGGCTCAATGTCTTTTGGGGTGGAACTGTCTGGGTCGAGGGCATACTTGCGTTTGCATCAGTGCTTGAAACTTGCCTTTGGAGCGGCAGCTTCTTGATGTTTTTTGGAGCGGATGAGTTCCTCACGGGATGCCGTCTTCAAGACCCATTCATTCATCATGAATTTCCCTCGCTCAAGTGCTGCAGCCTGCGGTATCCCATGCTGCGGGTCGCAGGTATCCCGCCATGAACGAGCCAATGAGCGCCACCCAGTACCCGCCGCAGATGTGGGGGCAGCGGTAGCTGGCCGGCTTCTGCATCCCGAAATATACGCACCGCTTTGTAGCTTGCCGTGCAGCACGCCAGAAGTGACGCTCATGAATAGCTTGCTGAAGATGCACCGCTCGTCAGATGTGGCTCGTCGTAGCTAGTGCGAAAGGCATTCCACGCCCAGCATATGCTCGGAGTACTTTTGCACGTTTTCCACTCAAGGAGCCGACTCATCATTGTATGCTCCAAGGCTTGGTGACCAATCTTCCCACTGTCTGCCCATCCCCGAAACCTAAACCCACCAATCCTGCAGCATAGCCTTACCCTTGGCCATCGCTGCCCCTCTTGCGCAGCCTGCACACCGGGCTAGTCTGCTCAAGTCCCTGACAGATGTGAACCTGCGCTCAGGTCTTGAGTTTGCCCATAAACCAGGAAGAGCTTTTCCAGATCGTAGATCGTAGTGGATCGTCTGAAAGTGGTTCCACTTGGGGGATTGCCTCGCTAACCACCAGTCAACTCATACCTACCATCTACAAGGAAAGAACAGTGTCAGCCAGTTGTGCAAAATATTGTGCACGAGGTCTTGCCTGCAAACCTACTACAACCTTGGGTTCAGTACCTCTCAGGGGCTTGGATCGCTTAAGCCATGTCACTGTGTCACCACCTTCACTTAAAACGGCCTGCTGGGAATCATGCAAGGGGTGTCATGATAGGTAAGGCCGAAGAGCTTCAGAATCCTTAACAACTGCGAGACATCACATCATGAGGTAATTCTGTTGCAACAGACAGTCTACCAAGACCTAGAGGTTCCTTTGCCTGGGAGTTCCCCGCAGGCCGTCTTTAATGAAACGGAGCGCGAGGTATGCCGCCATAGGTATTCCGCCATTTCCGAGAAGGGTCCTCCCAGTCAGGTTATGATGTCAGCTCGTGTGTAATGACCTTATTGGGGCTCCCGACCAAGGCTAAAGCATTTTATTTATCATGACGGAAGTCATGCTCAGGACTCCCTCTGAGTCCATGAAATGCCCACGCAGCGGCACAACCGAGCTCCAGTTATCGTTTCACGGATAAACAAGTGCGAGGCACGAGGGCTCGGCATGCTTAATGGTCAAGCCTGTGACAATGAACATTCACTCTTCCAATTCTGGTTCTTCTGTTGGATCCGGCCATGTACCCGGATCTGGCAGTAAGATCATGAATATCATGGACCTTGATCAACCTCAAGCTGACAGGTGGGCAGGTGGACAGAAGCTGCACATAGTGAGCAGTCAAGTTGAGCACCCCCTCACGGCTACTAGGGACACCTGTTCTCAACAGGACATGCAAGGGGCTTTGTGACATTGTGCTGAGCATTGGAGTTTTCTGTCCCAAGAAACTGTAATTTTTACACACTTTCACCAGAGAGGCATGCAGCAACCGAAGCCATCAGACCCAGGCTCTCAGTCTTCGGGTTTCTATTGGGTTTAAAATGGGGTTTATATAGGGATATAGGGGTTATATTGGGATAATGGAAAATAAAATGGAAACTACTATATTATAATGGGGTTTATATAGGAGTTATATTGGGATAACGGAAAAGAAAATGGAAACTACCATATAATCAAAGTGCTGGGAGTCTTCTTCCTTAAGGCCAGTCCGAGCAACGTGCCATATTGCAGTGAACTCCCAGCAACGAGTCATCATTTGACAAGCAAAAGCTTGGAAGCGCCGGTCCCTTGCATACTGGATTGGAACTCCTAGCGGAATCTGATCGTAGATCATCAGCCGCAAGCAGGCAAGCAGGCTGACTGTTCCAAGTACCGTTCTCTGTCGGGAATCACTCAATGGTTCTCTTGTTGGACATCTTGGGCTAGACCAATTGCAAGAGTATTTGCCTATCCTTGCGTCAGGAAACTGACCACCCCGTCCCTTCTGCAAAGATTAGATTGCGAGGTTTGCAATGTGAGGCCATAACGGGCATAGCGAGGGTCCTTCCGTCTACTTGTTTTGAGCCCTACAAGCTGACTTATGGCACTACACCCATTCAGCCAGCTGTCATGCCTCCAGCAATCTCGGCTCAACCATCATCGAGCTCGGATCCCCCCCTCAAAACCTTTCTTCTTCCGTTGCACACCCAGTGACATGATTTCAAATGGAAAGCTTCGTTGCTTCAGCTTTGGACCTTTCAGGAATTGAAGCTCGGGGCAGGTCTTGAGATGTTAAGACCTTGGACCGTGCAACCCAGGAATGATGATTCTGGGTCGTTGCTCAACCGCTAGGCCAAATTCTTGGCCGTCTAGCCTCATTTTCCTGGCAACGATCCTTGCCTGCCTTTTTTGACAATCCCTTCGGTATGTAAGTGCTGCGCTAGTTGTGTCTTTGCGGCCATTGCCGTTCCTAGTTCCATGGCTTCTCAATTACAGTTTTTTGCCAACCACCTCATTTGAGGCCCAGACACCGAGACTTTCTAAGCACTAGCTTTCTTCCGCAGGAAAGCAAGTCCAAAAAGGAAAGTGCACTTCAAACATCCACACGGTTCTGCATGAGCTTCCTTGGAATCTTCCCTGCAAAAAGGATTTCTCTTTGCCGGGCTGACGGGCATTGTACCGGCAGAGATTGCGCTGCCGCATCCGCATCGCTCTTGGCCTTGAAGGCGGAGACCCAATCGGCCAGCTTCGACAACCGTGAGGATAGCCTTGACTACGTGCTTAGGATTACTGTTAATGAGCAATAGTAGTATAATGAGATAAAATAGGGGTTATATTGGGGTAATGGAAAAGAAAATGGAAACTATTCTATTGTGCCTGATAAGAAAGTGCGCAGCAATTGGTTGGAAGATTGCCATCCTGTGATCGAACAATCCTGCTCATTACCGGCTTTCTCACGACACGGTTGCACTATTTCTGGGAACCAAGCTATCAACTTGCAAAGCAGGGATCAGCTGTATCTCATGATTGTCGTCATGTGAGCTATATATAGTCTAAACTCCTTAAAGGGGGTTATATAGGGGATTATATTGGGAACTACTATAGGGGTCATTAAGGGGGATACTAGGAGTTTAGACTACAGCTCATTTGGCCATACATAACGAAGAGAGCAAGTGTAAGCTTTCCAGGACCATGGCGACTGGCCGATGAACATGAGCGTCAACAACAGCAATGGTACCGTGAATGAGGAGCTGGAGATGATTTTGGGTGAGAACGCGGAGACCTGGGCTTGTGCCATTCCACACTTTTTTGGGATACCCAATTCATCATGGGTAATTCTTAATTGTAACATCATAGCACTATAAGTGGACTCATGCTCGGTTTGCTAGCCCTGTGTGTACTGGCATCCTGAGTGTGTTCCTCTCGTCTTCCAGCCTAACGCCGAGACACATGCCAAGGCATGTGGTAGTTTCCCAAAATAAGGGGACCCCAATATAGACCCCGAAACACTATAGGCCTTGTTCTGGGTACCCCCAAAAGGGTACCCCTAATGTTGGGAAACCCCCATGTTTGCGTGTGTAGTACAGAAAAAGCCAAGGAGCAAGACTTGAAGGCGATGAACAGCATCCCAAATCCGGAGAATGCCAGCAGCAATGGCACGGAAGGGCAACAGCACAGACCCCTAACAAGGAAAATAGAGGATATTCTGGTGACTCAGTGTAGATGCTAGCAGTCTATAGTAGGGTCTATAGGGTTCAACTTGCACTAAAGGCTGTTAGTATCCCCTGAGGCACACACGGAATGGGAGAGTTGGGTCGCAACTTGGAGTTCTTGATGCTCAAAATCGTCCAGCTGGAGACTGTGGTGGAGCTGCAACTTGAATTTGAGTTAGGCCCTTGCATTTTCTCTTGCACTCTGCCTAGTCTTTTGAAACTGCACTGCGCATAGCAGACAGAGAGAGAGAGAGAGAGCTTGGGCAAGGGGGCTCAGCCCGTGCTCCTTCTTGAAAGAAGAAGAAGGAGAGAGAGGGCTTGAGAGAGAGAGAGGCCCCCCGCACCCCTGTGTCCAAGCACCCCGGAATGGCCAAGATCTTGAACACGAGACACGCAGACCACATGAAAGTCAGGCCCTTGAAACCCCCAACCCGTGGCCTGGTCCCATGTTCATTCAAATTGATTTCGATGGCGCCTGAGAGCCGCACCTGTGCATTGCATGCCCACAAGCTAGAAAAGTTGGACTGCAGAAGAAGAAGCTACTTGCAGCTTGTGGCCTCAAATTGAATCCAAGGCAACAGCACGAAATCCAGGACCTCCATGATGTCAGAAATTGTCGTGTAATTGTCAATACTGCTAAGCATACCACAGCATGTTGGTTCCAGGACCTCCGCGACCTTGTCAAAGACCATTTGGACTTGGATCATGACACGGCTGTGTCAATGAAGCAGGCTCAGCAACTTTGTCCCCTCAAGTCAGAAGCAGCATGCAAGATTTGCAAATTGGCAAGATTCCCAAGATGCACGAAGAATACGAAGCACAGGAAGATCAACCCATGGGCCCTGGCAGGTGGATCCTAAGACCCGCAGCCAGAAGGCGGAAGAGACGCTGAGGAGACTAGGTTGGCATGTGGAAGTTACTATTTCCGAAACACTCTAGCTCGCATGGATTATGTTTTGTATGTCTAGTGCAGCCTGACTATACAGAAAATGGAAATGACTATAGTATATTGAGGTTGTATTATAGGGATACTGGAAAACAAAATGGAAACTATTACAGTATAACAGGGTAGACCAGGGGAGTTTTGCAAGCAGCGAGGGCCCTTGACTTACTTGTTGTTAGGGCTCCTTGACGGTGGGTTAATCGGTTAGCCCACCGCAGCCGGGCCCCCGGTTGCCAAGCATTCCCATAAACTGCCAGGTGTTTCCGGTTAGTAGAAGACAACGAAGGAAAGTCATGCACAAGCACAACCGCCAGCGGGACAACCGAGACTTCCGACCAGAGAAGCACCAGGAGCAACAACTTCCGGAAGCATCTCAGTCCGCATTTGGATGTCTTCATTTGCTCGTTGCGACATGTTTGAAATTCTGCTGGCAGAAAACTTCATAGGGTGGTCGCAATCAACACATACCGTGCAGGAAGTGCAGCAACTGGCTTCTGGTGACTAAGGAGCGTCGAGAACTGCTCTCAAAGCGCGACAAGCCCCAGGACTGGGAAGCCATGTAGACAAACCAACGCATCCGAACAGACTCTGTATTGTTCCCGGCGTTTCCTGTTTGCCTAGTTTGGCACTGATTTATGAACCTGTCTAGGCAATCCGACGCAGTTGTCCTAGTACCCCAACTGTATGGAAAAGAAAGCAGTGTCCAGGGATGATGCCTACTGGTGCCCCCCATTTCCGTCAGAAGGGCCACAATCAGAATCATCCCGCCATTGGAAGACGACAAGTCTTCGGAAGAGTCTGAGGCTCCAGCAGTAAAGCTGCAAAACCGTTGCGGAAGCTACAACGAGTCCAGACCCAAAATGCGCCAGGTCTTTTACCTTCGCAGTTGTCTCTTAAGTCAAGACACTCTAAGTTTCGACCCCAGGACTCATCCTTGCTCTCGGAGCGCTCTGAGACAATGTCACGTCGGCGTGGTTGGCCACGCCGCCGGCGCCGCTTCATCAAGGCAGTGCAACCCGGCTTGGACAAGTTCAGAAGCCTTTCGATCCGAGAGGATGCACTTCTCCTTAACTTGCTGAAAGATATTTCTCGTCCCCCAAAGTTGCATAGACTGAGGTCAAAGGCTGCCTCCTCTGCTGGCGGTGCAATCGCAGACACTGCAACGAGTGCTGCTGCGGCTGCGAATGACGGCACAGGCGCGAAGCTGAGCACCTATGTTGTGGCTGCTTGCGTTCTTGATTTGTGATTGTGCATTTGCACTGGAACCCTTCACAGTGTATCCACACTACTACACATGGCCCCTGAAAGCAATTGCACTCTAGACCCCATGTAGAGTCCGTCGAGGATCTCATGTTCACAGCATAGTTGAGAGGTTAGTGTGACACGTCACCCACCGTGAGACATTTTATGTAGAACTCCTGCACTCCAGGCCTGGTTGGAGACGCGCTGGGAGATGCTTACTCAGCTGCCAGTGACCAGGCTGGGCGCTCATCTACGGGCCCTTGCCAACACATATTTCAGGGTGCCTCTACAAGACTTGCTCAGGTATCTTTAAGATGTGTTGAGATTCACTGGGCTACAATACCAGGAGCTGATAATTTGGTAGCTTCACCACAACCAAGCAGACGTGCAGTGGAGGGTTGTGAGGGCACGACGTTCCTCACATGTTGATAGTGTCCGGACCCAAGACTCCCGCCTCACTCAGCATAGTCCTGGTATAGTGGTGGTGCAGGGAGTCGTGCTTGAAGCTGTGCCAGTTGGCGCTTACACCCAGTTCGCAGCCTGCCATTGCTCGGAAGGGATATGCAACAACACTCCCACACCAGTTTACGGGGACGTCCTTGAAACACGTGCAGAAGACACGGAGGCTTCAATTGCACCTGAGTTCCCCTTGTTTGCCTTGCTTTCCTACTGCCCCAGCAATGCCAAACACTTTTGTTTTCGATATAGTCCTTCTGCCTCCCACTCCTCCTGCAAGGTTCCCTCCCACACCCCGGCTGGCCCCGGTTTGTTCTTCTGGGCATCAGACCTAGCTCCCCGGCTCTCAGCTCCACCATTCCTAGGGTCCCAAGCCGTTTCTTTTGGGCTCAGACGTTATATCTCGGTTCCAGAATTTAAGGTTAGGGACCCCAAGAGAAGCGCAGGTGGGCTTCCCAATTCTAGCAAGGTGGCAAGGCCCAGGAAGCGATGGGAAGTGAAGGTTTCCCAAAATTAGGGGTACCTTTAAAGGAAAGGGTTTTTTTTGACCAACTCAGGCCAATCCTCTGGGTTTTGGGGTTTAGGGGTTTAGGAAAGGTTTTAGGTTTCCGAAAATTAGGGGTGCCATTTGGGGAGTCCCCATAATAAGGATTCTAGTTTATTAGGGTCTATACTTGGGTTCCCCTATGTAGGGAAATTACCAAGTGTGTCTTTCCACCAGTGCAATGCCACCTGGCGCCTGCACCGCTCTTCTTGTCACAATAGAGCCTGCACGTAAATACTTCCCCAGCTGGCTAACTGAGAGCCTTTCGAAGCAGGTGACGTTCGTGGCCAACACTGTCATTGACTCGGTGGAGATGATGACCAAGAAAGCTTCGTAATCAAGTGCTTGAATGATTTCTAGGAAGTTGTTACCCTGATTCAGGGTTTCCAAGACATCTCGCAAAGTGTGAGCTGGATTGGAAGAAGTCTGCTCAGCCTTGTAGAAGCCCACCTTCTGTTTGCCAAAAGCCTTGCTTGTTCTTTGCTATCCCCATCAACGCCCATACAGTGAAGACCCCCGTACTGATTTGTGACCCCTTCAGGTGGAGCTGGCTGTTGACATCCTTATCCGCGGATTCTCGGACTGGAACGCTGGCTGTCCGGATACCCGCACGCCGGAGCGTGGGGGTTGGGTGCAGGGTGTATTTCTCTGGGCGTGTTAAGGAAGAAGTACTGCCAAATATACCCGTGTGAGACAGCTGGGATGTATATGAGGCTCTTGTTGTAGACAGTGCAAATCTTCCTCAAAGTGCATCTCAAATCAGCACAGCACTGGTGTTGAGTGTAGACATCAGCCAATGCACACACGGATATGCAATGTTTTGGACATTTTGCATATTGCTATCAGTGAGCACATGCAAGATTGCAGGGACCTTGCCTGAAGTTTGTAGAATCATATGTCCCAACAATCAGAGCTATCTTCGCAGGGAAATGTTGGAGATGATCCAGATGCGACTGTTCTGAGTCCCTGTGCGGCTGCTTACCATTTACTGCGTAAAAAAAAAAAAGTAGTGTAGATGTCTCATCAGTGCAATCCTCCATGGGCTGCCTCTTCTGAAAGCCTTAGAGATAAAAGCTGCAAGAGCTGGTAGCATCCTCCTTGCAACGATCAGCGCAGTGGCTTTGTAGGACATGAGTGTGGATTCAGACGGCATCCGTGTGGATTGGGGCCGTCAGAAGTGCTGGGTCCGACTTATGGGACAGACATGCAACCTCTTTGACTTCAACTTCGGCAGTGTGAGCCTTGTCAAGAAAGTCGGATCTCTTTGCTTGTCAGCTGCCTTTGTGAGTCTGCCGGATAGTCCTGAGGAACCTGGCTTGGCCTGAGCCCCTAAAGACGGTCGCCGGTTTCGGCTTGATGCCGATCCGGGCCATGTTCAACCTTGGATTCGACCTCGTGAAGTGTGCGACATCGGGTTCTGCCATTGAAGTCGTCAAGTGCCTTGGGCTTAAGCTTTTGGAGATCGTGCCCCCCTTGAATTTCTTAAACAGAATGGGAGACATGCTGACGGAGTTCATCGAGGTTTTTGCGCAGGTTGCCGGCGTTGTTGTGAAGCAGGTGCTGGACGACAGTACCTCATTGATCCAACAAGCAGCACAATCCAAGTTTCCGGCGGCTGGCGAGGTCCCGCGAGTGCATCATGCAGGAAAGAGCCTCACCATCAAGACTCACTCTCAGCGCCGCAAGCTCCCCAAGGGATCTAAGATTCCACAAGAGGACATGTCAGCCATGCAGCAAGATGCAAAGAGTGGCGATGATCCAGATCCTCAGGGCAGCATCGCTTTGAGTGTGTCGGACCAGGATGGGAACTACGCTACCAGGCTCATCACCCAGTTCAATGGCAGGGAGACGGACACGAGCTCTTGCCTGGCCTTTGCGCCAAAGCAGAGACACGGCAGCAACAATCAGGCAACAAAGGCAGACTGGCAAGGTGCTAACGATGATTCCTTTATTGCCCTGGAGCCTTTTGGCGTGCCTTGCGACAATGACTGGATGAAGGCTAACTGGAACAAGTGGCAAGGCTACTCCTTCTACACCTGGGAGATGTCCATCGAAAAGTGTGTGACAGTAACCTACTCCTTGGGCATGCGGCTTGGCCACTCTCGTAAATTCTGGTGTTAGATTTGATCTGTTCCTAACCTGGTTGCAGAATCTCATGCCTGCTTTGTTTTGACTCGAAAATCAGATGCCAGGGTTGCGAGCACAACCCAGGCAGCCTGTCATTGCGTTCGTCGGCGGACTCAATTTCGAACTGATGCCTGCACCCCTGGCTGCTGGGGCTCTTTCTGTGTCAGTTGTAGAGCTGATTCATCGAAATCTTGGTTGCTGGCACTCTGCACTTGATTCGGCTGTAACAGCCCAGGCTGAGTTGGACACCACAGTCTGTTGGCCAGACAAGCAGCCTCTTGGGTATCCTCAGAACTTCTTTTCCGAAGTTGGCTGGTCCCGTTTCAGTGCAGTATTTTTAGGGGCATTGCCTAGATGAGAGCCCAAAACCCGGAACCTTATGACTTGCGCCGTGATTATGGAGGACTGCTTGGGCTGTGATGTCCACGCAAAGCTTGCTGAATTTCATCTGATGGAAAATTTGGGCCCAACTTTGGTATGTCAGTGTGTGGAAGCCACCAAGAGCCTCAGAAGAGAGTTGACAGCTCATCGAAAGCCCCAGCAGCTATCAGAGATGGCCTTCTCCCTTTAAATCACAGAGCAGTTTTGTATAAAACCCTACTGATTTGAGGCCTGATGGAGTGGACCTAAGTGTCCTGCGCTCCGAAATCCGCTCTGGCGGTGTAATGCTCTTCAGCCGCTGAGCTATTTTTGGCCTTGTCTGAATAGGGTAATGAAGCTTGGGTTAGGGTTAATGAGCTCCACTCATGCAAGGTGTTGCAGAATGCTGAACGTTTCTTGAAGTTCTCCCCTTCCCTGAGCATCCCTACACGCATCCCATCGTTTACACCTTCGGAGGCACCTCAAGTTTGACTAAGCCAATTGGAAAACCGCTCTGAAGATGCCAGGCCGGACCCTCCGCCTGCAGAAGCGATTTGGCAGCGGCACGGACTTCACGGACCACTGGTTTGGTAATTCTTGGGCTGAGATCAAGTAGGGGAGTGCGTGACAATCAGGAATCGGGATCCCTTTTTTTCGAGGTTTCAGGAGATCCCTGCTGCAAGAAGCTGGGGTGATGCGAGTATAGTGTTCAGGGCTTCTTCAAGGCATGCTTTGGATGGTGACAGGGCATTCTTCGGAGGGCTGGAAGACGGGCCATGCTGCGTTCAAACACTTTTCCCAGCGTACTACTTGCTGAAGCTGGAGATCAAAAGCATCAACAAACGCAGAATCAGATTCTGTAGAGCCTGTATTGTTTGTACATTGGAGATGGAGACGAGTCAGGAGGAACCCCACCTCTGGGCACTTACCTGGATAAAGGAGACCCTGTGATGGATTCCAACAGAGAAAAGGGATCTATCCTTGATTTCAAGCAGCTTTCCCTGATGCACGTGAGCTTGCTGGCAGGATGCTCTGTCAAGAAAGTTAGGCAAGTGATAAGTCAGATGTTCCCGAAATGCACGCGTGAGAGACTGTAGACAGGACAGCAACACCTTTGGGGCGCACGAGTCTTGGCGCAATCCGCTCGGCACCGCTGTTGGGCAACACGGGGTGGAGGACGATCGCACTGTGGAGACGATGCCGAGGCAACGGGCAAAGGGAAAAGCAAGTGTAGGAACAAAGCACCCACCGCAAGTGCTACTTTGGGCTTCACTGTACATCTAGAATCAAGGCGTCACTCTCAGGATGCAAATGCACACAGACTCGTAGAGATAGCTACAAAAGATGGGGCAGAGAAGGAAGGAGAGGATATGTGGCACGCCCCAAGAATGATTGTGGGGACCCCTGCTGTGATGATTTTAGGCATTTAGGTACGGTGGTACAGTGGGGGGGATGTTGGCAAGATCAGGTTTTCCCTGAGGGTCACATTGGATTTAGACATGAGATGAAGAGGCCATTAAGCATCAAGCGCACGCACCGCACACTGATTTTCACAGTTGTTGTTGGGTAGCAATGGAACCTTGAGCACTGATTTTAAAGTGCTTTTGGAGAAGAAACATGGTGCGTGCATGCAAGACATACGTTGTTCTGCAGAATTCCAGACGGCAGTGATCTCTCGGGCTCTTTGTAGACGGTGTGCCTATCTTCATGGTTCCTGACCCGAATTCACCAAAGAGGACTTTCAGGCTGACCACCATCTACTCACTGCGACAGCAGGAGACCTCCGCATTACCATATAATCTTTCACATAGGTGTCCTTTTGCCAGGTTTTAGCTGAGCATCTTCGCCCATACAGCCAAATGCCCATACAAGAATCCTGCGCAAGTTGAATTCCAGGTCCCTCCTGCAGGCGGAGACCAATCAAAGCAAGAAGAAGCCGCAGACCAGGAAAACCCCAGAGGCACGGTTGTCTTGTTTTGTCACCGATAGCGCTAAGACCAGCCGCAGCCAATGATTGGAACATGTCGGGTGGCTAGTCTTATGTACCAGGTCCTGTAAGAGGATTCTTGTTTCGTTTCGCCATGCCAACTATGATGTTGGTGATGATGATGGTGATGAAGCAATCTGCACCTCAGTGTTGCATGCCCCTGTCGGAGAGGTGGACCTGCACTGGGAGGCCGATTCCGAAGAGCTTTATCTGGCGTCGATTGCATCTTGGCTGAGTGAGTCGATTAGGAGGTGGCTGTGCCATGCTGTGCCATCTCACTGGCTCTTTCTAAGTCAGGCGTCATTTTCTGATGCGCAGCGCTGAGCTTTTCCCAACCCGAGCCTGCTGTCTTCAGAAACATGAGGAAAAATCAGAGAAGAATACCCTGCATATTGATATACAAGCCGAATATTATCAGACTTCCCCTTGGCAAATCCCGACATTTTATCCTGCTGCTTTGCCTCCGCCAACCACAAAAGCAGAGAATTTGAAGGGTAAGGGTGGAATTCTCTAACTGTAAAAACAGAGAAGTCGAAGGCGTAACGTTTAAATTGTCTAAAACCATAAAAGCGGATAACTTAAAGGGAAAGAAGGGAAAGAGTGACATTGTCTAACCGTAAAAGCAGAGAATTTCAAGGGTAATTGTGGAATTGTCCAGACGTAAAAGCGGAGAATTTGAATGGTCATGTGTTCTCCAAGAGCACGGACAAGTTGAAAGAATTATACCGGAAGCAACGTAGCATGCCCGACGCACAACATCAAAGAGTCATGTTCTCAACAAGGGCTTTGAGCCTGTATGGCTGGAACATCTTTCACTGTCCAAGTTCGCATTTGCGAACCTCAAGCTGCATTGCCCGAATCAACTAGAGTAAAACCCAAAACCCCTAAACCCCAAACCCCTAAACCCCTTAGAGGCCCGGGGGGAGGCTTTGAAACGCCTTTCTTGCCCTGGAGTTTCAAGGACAGCCAAGCCACCTCTTAAGTCAAATCTCTCAGTTTTCTTCCATGACAATCTAGAGGTTACATTGGCGGTACATTGGGGTTATATAAGGGTTACATTCTATTTGGGTTATATTGGGGTTATATTATATTTGGGTTATGTTGGGGTTGTATTATATTGGGGTTATATATAGCCTTTCTGTGGAATTCTAAGGAATACGGAAAGCACCTGGGAATCAACAAGACCTTCGAGCTACGCGGTCCAGATGTCCTGAAGCACATGAAGGATCTGAGCATTCTCCAGGCCTTTCGTAGGTGGTCTTAAGAATGCTTGGAGGTTGTATTGAGGTTGTAGGATTTGTTTGACATTCACGACGCTCGCAGCCTTGTTTATGTGGGCTGCGACCGGTCCACAGGCGCAAGCACAGTCGGGCACAGACTATCACCAGCTCTTCAGCTTCAAGAACCTGGGATTGGAGTTCATCTTGTTTGTTATTGTGTAACCTGATCTGGGATGAATTGGTGGACCGAGCAGATTTGGGCAATCAATGTTGTTCTCAACCTTGTGACAGTCCATTTATGAGAGACCGATTCCTGCTAGAATCTCCTCTGCAAAGGAATTTGAGGGCGACAAGAGCATATGAATTAAATCTCGAAGCACGGCCAAGGAATCCGGGAATGGTCAACTTTGAAATCCAGGGCCTCTTGGAGGACTGCCAAAGCTCCTGAGGTGCTGATAGATGTCACACGTGTCTCGTTGTCAAGTCGAGTTGGTTTCAGAGTGGGAGCGCAAATTATCCTGTACAGCGCCTAGCCGGCCAACACAAGGCCTGGATGTTGTACTCTAAGCCTTTGCACAAGAAAGACTCACATGCTTTCACACGTCCACCAAACAGGACAATTCCTTGGAACTGGGCATGAAGATCAACTTCGGTCCCTTCGAGTCCCCGGAGAAGCGCATTCCATTGCTGGACATCGTCGCTCAGTTCACGCTGGTGGGACTGCGCTGAAAATGGCATGTCTTTTGTGTTTGCTGCTAAGCTTATGGACCGCCGAATCTCGCAAGCAACTAGTAGTCCTCCAGTGAAAACCTCCGAGTTCTCCTTTGCTCCAACCAGGATGAGGCTTCACAGACCTTCCTTGGCCTTCACGTAGGGCGCACAAGACAACCTGACATTTCTGGCCTCCTTAGCGTGCAGTTGCTACAGTCCATTGATGTGTCTAGAAACTCCTCACGCAAGCAAGAAGAATCCGTATTGCTGGGATTCATCTCGCTACAAGTAGGTTTGTGGCCACGCCCCCTCAGTGTGCTTGGAGCTTCCTCCAGACAGTTTGATCAATCCTCATGGCCCATTACTCTTGCAGTACTCCCAGAACACTTCCCCTTTGAATTGCAAGCGCATGTTGTCATAAAATCACCATAACATTGGCTTGAAGTCCAATGCATGAACATTCATGTGAGCTATAGTCTAAACTCCTTAAAGGGGGTTATATGGGGGATTATATTTGGGACTACTATAGGGCTTATTAGGGGGATACCAGGAGTTTAGACTATAGCTCATGTAAGGTCCTTGGAGCCATGCCATGGGTGTCGCCAAGTAGCAAGATCAAGGCCATCGCCGCCTTGAAATCCGGATCGTCTTCAGTAAAGCTTATCGATCATGGTGTGCTGAAGTACAGACAGCAGAGGATGCCAGTGGGAAAGGGTTTGTACTACCAAAAGCAAAGAACAAATGAGTAGTATTTAATTTGGGAACGCTATGGTGCCCAATACAGAGTAAGATTATATCCTCCTTTTGGGGAAAAGTATTTTATATAAGGGATATAATCTTACTAGGTTCAAGCACCAAAAACAAAAACGCTACTCAAATGCCGCACTTGCAAGGTTTGATTTGTTGATGCCATTAAGCAAGATAAACAGGTGAGCTCCTGTTGCAGCGCCAGGGTTCTAGGAGCATCAAGGCCTGAACGCTTTGGACCCTTCCGCTTGGGCCCTCGGGTTCGACATACCTTCAAGGACACAAGTTCAGAACCGAAAGCTGCCACAAGGACTCTTTATAGCATACCTCGCAGTTTTGTGGCAATGTGGCCTCATGCTTGCAATTGCCTCTGGAAACTGCAAAAGAATCAGAATGCAGTGGAGCTATCAGCCGGCCGAAGACCACTACTGATGCGCATGCAAGACTAAATTGGGCGTTTACTTTCAGGAATGTTGATTGAGCACTCCAGAAGATGGCCTCTGCCGGCCCGGATACAAATTTTCTTGATTGAGGTGAAGCCATGCCCTCCATGCGAAGCCGTCCATGAATACCCTTGAACTGCTTGCGATTCCAGCACGGACCGGCGTATGGAGTTTTTTTCTGCGTTTCAAGGAATGATTTCGGGAAGAAGGACGTCGGGGGCGTTACGCCAGTGGTGCCTCCGCCAGAAATTACCCCAGGTGCCATCATCGGAGTGCCTTACCTCCATGCAGAAATCGATTGATTTCTTTTTCTTCTGCTGAGTCAAATAGGATGTTGTCCCAATCAATTTGCATTCTAACTGATTATTGCTAAGAAGAATTACGGTTGCATAGTTGTATCCTAACACCAAGTTGTACAGCCCTTCTCACATTCGCTGGCTCAAGATGAACGAGCACGGGGACTTTGTCCGCAGCAGCTCTCATGATTACAATGCTCCATTCCCAAGCGGTTGGACGTGGGAGAAGTTTGCTGTCGTGGATGCCGGCGATGGCTTGATTTCTCTCCACAGTCCTAAGTGGAACAGGTTTCTGTCCATGAACCCCGAAGGTGACTCGGTCTGGTTTCTTGAACGGGAATCACTGGAGTTCAGGTTGTGCTGCCTACTGACAGAGCTTCATTTTTGAAAATCTCATGCTTTTGCTGTTAACAATGTCAAGACATGTTTGAAGAAATCCCTCCAGCAGACGCATGCCCAAAAAGCAAGTATCTCAACACCCCCGACGCTCACTAGGGTAACTTTGCTTCTAACACACGAGCAAACCTTAATATGCACCCTACCAGAAGGTATGGGTATGCTATGTTTGAAGGCAGCTGCTGCTGTGGAGGAAAGCCCTTCAGAACATTTGCCGTCAACCTCTGGTTCCGAAAGACATCTTTAGGCCACAGAGCCCTACAAATCCAACAATCATCCCTGCTCTCCCCTCACTCAATTGTGCCCTCTGCATGCTGTGTTGCTCCTGCCACAGAGCAGCAGCACCTTCAACCAAAGATCATAAAGCCAGGATCTACACGTAAGGACCCTGTGGAGGATTGCCCTTCGAAATTAACGCTGTCAGATATATTCAAAATGTCTATCCTATTTCCGATGCGATTGCTGCGAGAGAGCATGCCGTCGGCCTGTAGTATGCGTACGGTACAGAACCATGTACGAAACGGACAAGCCATAGATGAAACTGAGGTGATGTGTACGCCAGTCCCCATAGAGCCGCCAGCGCGCTTCCACACGACTGGACATGGCAGATGTTCAAGGCGCTTTCAAGTTGACCTAGGGCAGAAGAGCAATGCTGCTAGCGTGTTGGATTTTGTGTGAGGGACCTGGCCGACCAAATGATGCTGATGATGTTCATGATGCTGGCGAAGCCACCTGAACCCCTTAGTGCACGGCCAAGCGCACACTGGCATTGTAAAAGCCTGGAGAATGAGAAGCGTACACCCAACAATGCTGATGATTGTTCCCTCGGCCAACATGATCAGCTTCATTGGGTGGCTCCCTTTTCAGTTTCCGTGATTTCCTGTACCGTCTGCCAGAGCTTGGACCCAAGCCAAATATCCCGCTGAAATGTCATGTGCGTGGGAGCATGTGAACTTGAGGCCCCATTCAGAGTCTGAGGTTGGAGAAACAAAGGTTCCGTGATGCTGGGTGCCGCGGAGTTGGTAGCACTAGCGCCACCCTTTTCACAGCTCAAGCTGGAGACATGGGCTCCCGCCCTACCCCAAGACCATGCTCGCACTGCCACAGGCCACCAAGCAAGGGAAACTCACGCTTCTTCGCAGTCTTGCAAGGCTTCTTCAGAGGATTGATGAGGGCTAGGCAACGTAGGTCATTGGTATTATCTGGGATTTGGAGCTCTTGAATGTAGGGATTCAAGCCTTGAAGCTTTAAAGCAAAAGGCTTCCAGAAACGAGGCCTAGCCGAGAAAGTATTCTGGACATTCAAGAAGACCGCAAAAAACTATCGAAGAAGGCCCCTTTTCTCAGCGAACTACGTCTCAAGGGACTTGTAATTCGTATTAGCTGGAGCTCTGGGATTTGGAGCACTTGAGTTTAGAGGTTCAAGCCTTAACGCTATGAGGGTTTTCCACCAGCAATGCAAAGAAACCTCACTGAGCCCTGTCTGCTGCTAAGCGAAAGAGTTTAGGGGCCTTGCTACTCGGTGGAAGCACTTGAGCATCAAACACCTTAAACTATTCAGTTATTCCTCTTTTCCCTCAAAACCAATGCAGCCCCCAAGAATCAGACGCAGTTCTGCTGCTGCTTCCATCAAAAGAGCACGCCCTGGCGAAAGCATCATCAGCACAATCTATAATGCTTTTGAAGCCCGTTCAGCCACGGTCAAACTTGGTGAAACGCGAAAACACAACTACTCTTGGATTGGCTTCAGCACTACAAAACTGACACGAAACCCGGCGTGAAACTCCGAACAACCTCACAAAGCCTCGCGGATGTTCACAAAACCGTCACGAACAAAAGCAAAAAGAAACGCCTAAAGCATGGATAGACTCCCCATAATGTCTGGCCAAGCACGTACGGGCAGCCTAGAGGATCCCTGGCCAGTATCATGTGAATCTCAGGGGCCCTGGCAGACACCAAAGATCTTCTAATAATTGGAGATCAAACCTGACACTGGACGGATTTGCCGAAAACGGCGAAAACCTCGAAGCCTCGACACCTCGAAACCTCAACACCTCAACCTCGAAGCCTCAAAACCTTCTAAATCTCGAGACTTCGAAGCCTCAGCCTCGACCTCAAACCTCAACCTAGCAACCTCGTCAAGATTCGATTCAGGTCTGTTCTGAATGTGTGCCTCTAAGCCGCATTCAAGGTCGAGGTAAGCGGCAGTAGCGCAACTCCCCGCCGATCCTCGAGAAAAAAGTAGGGCAAGGAAAGCGACAACCTACGGGGACAAGAGGAAAACCGGGAAAAGCTGCGGAGGACAACCCGGAACCTTGACAACCCAAGGGGAAAAGGGGAAGCTGTGGAGATCAACCTCGGGAAAACTCTCGCCTGAGCCGGGCGGCGGAGTTGGAAGATGAGAAGAGTTTGAGGAAAATGGAAACTACTATACTGGGGTCATATAAGGATTATAGGTGTTATATTGGGGATATATTGGGATAATGGAAAAGAAAATGGAAATTACTGTAGTATAATAGGGTTTAGGAGGATAGGGGTTTTAGGGATAATGGAACATACAGTGGAAACTACAGAAGTATATTGGGGCTATATAGGGATATTGGAAAAGAAAATGGAAACTACAAGGATTCTAGGTGATTTTTCTTTGTGTGTTTGAAGCATCTGTGCAGATGAGATTTTCCTTGTGGGTGATTGGTTTCTTAGAGGCGTAGAGTAAACTGCCTCCTGTCATTGTTGGGATCATTGTAGATAATGTACCATAATATACGATACTATCAGATACCATACTATACTATAATATAATATACTATAATGAATCATAATATACTATGATATGTTCGGAGGGACTTCCACGAGGTATGGCTGCCACAAGGGTGTTGGCCCAGACTCTGAGCAGGGCTGGGTCTTGAGAAATATTCAACAAGGATTGACGTAAAGAATTATCGAAGAACCGATTAGAAAACAAGAGTTATATTGGAGGATTGATGGAAGGAATGGTATAGAGCAAGGAAAATGTTTCAAGAGGTTAGAGGAGGGAATCATGGAGATTCTGTACAGACTTCTAGAGTGTATGGAATTTAGAGATCGTATGGGGTGTGTATGAGGAGCCAGAAAGACCCCGCCCCTTAGCGTGTAGCGGGCTGTGTGGCTTGGGGGGCATAGTATGGTGGGTTGGGAGGGCGCAGAACGCACATTGTACGGACTTCATGCATCGGAGTCCAGTGTCCAGAGGGCACGTAACTGGGCACTTTTCGGAGGGCCCTAATTGCAGGAGCGCTCTTAGTTCGGCGCATTTGCAGAAACGGAATTTTCAGAAGGCATTTATGTAACCGACCTGAGCCTGCACAAGAAGCAGCCTTACATGAACATTAAACTGAACTGGAAGACGTGGCGGCAGTGTTGATCCAAAAGTCGGTACTGGTCCTTCTGTCCTTATGGAAGTCACAGTACCATCCTGGGAGTGCTTATGTGGTTGAAACATGCATTCGATTCAGCTTCTAAGCTTTCAGGTGGTGTACGCTGGGGGTGGCCAGATCGCTCTTCACTGCCCAAAACACAACCGATTTCTCCGCATGACGGATCAGGTCGGGCATCTGAAAACGGAGCGTCCGTTCTCCCAGGTGTGACACAGCCCTGAACAAGACAAGCATAGACCAGGTTGTGGATGCCACCGGTCACAAGAGTGCGGATGACTTGCCGAAAGGCCGCTCGGTACCAGTGTACGTAACACAGCGTTCCACATACCTTGCACAAGACATTCAGGTTGACAGTGGTTTCCAAAGCAGGTGCTGTTTTGACGTGGCACAAAAGAAAGCCAAACCTGGATGGAGTGTGTTCCCAGCATTGGTGACTAAATACTCCTCAGCCCTTTGTTCTCCGGTCTTTGAAGATTTCTGTGTTTGATGGTTTTGAATGCGCAGTTTTGAGAACCTTTCGCTGGAACGGGTACCGAAGAGCTGCCAAGGTTGGCTTTGGGAGCGTTTCCAGGTGAAACGCACAACGTGGCTCTTGAAACCAGGCATTGCGGCTAATATGCATGGTGAGGGCGTGTTTGGTCGCGAGCCTCTGAGATTTACACAAGAACAAGCTCAAAGCACCAAATTGTCTGCATCAGCTTCGAAGCATCCAGCCATCTATAGCTATGCGCTTGCTTCGCTTTGTGCCCGTGTGCCTTTTCTGTCCGAGCAGTCAAGGAGACCCTGAGGTTGCAAGGTTGATATCCGTACGTTTCCAGATAAAATATGTGAGGGGGTTGTATTACACGTTTGGCCCTAGAATCTGCAGAAGGAAAGGACTTGCCCCTGAGCCCATCCTTCGGTGCTTTCGAGTGATTCCAGCCAGGCAGCGTTGTGGCCTTCCACAATGCACACCACAACCGCTACATCAGCATGAATGGTAATGCGAATTTTTACCCGAGTGACCCGCGGAATTTTGATGACGAATTCCCGGAAGGCTGGACATGGCAGAAACCTGGCGCTACGCTTTTTCAGCAAATTCAACCATCTTCCCTGCCTTTTTGGATTTTGATTTTTCCTCCACTCAGCACAAGGAAATTCACAGTGGTGGATGCAGGGAATGGGGAGGTGGCTCTCCACAATTCTGTGCACAATCGCTTCTGGAAGATGTCTCCAGAAGGAGGCCGATCCCTGCGCAATGAGTGCAATCCCTCCAAGGAATTCTTAAAGTGGGGTTTAGGGGTTAGGGTTTAGGGTTTGGGGTATATCCCAATGACACAACCCTTCGTTGTATACTCCCTTGAAGAGTTTCTTGTAAAGAGGCATTCACCGGTTCTTGTGGTCGCAACAGAATCAAACAAAATAATTGCAAATACGGGGGGGGTTTGAACGTAATGGGCCGGGCACTAAGCCACAGGGGTTCGAAACGAGCCCCACAGAAATCGTGGAGCCTCAGACTTGCACCTAGAACAACTTGGCCATCTTCAGACAGTTACGAATGCTGTGCTAAAAATCCTTTCGGGCACAAGCCCTGAGAATGAACCCTGTGAACGTGTAGAAGTCCCACAAATCTCAACTTCCTTTGCAGACATGCTTGGCAGCGTTCGTAAAGCTGCTCACCAGCTGCCTCCTCCGAAAGACTGGCCCTGGGAACGTTTCGCGGTGGTTGATGTTGGCGGCGGCAAGGCCAGGTAAGTTGAAATGTCGTTCTTGATGTCTTGCTTGCTGGCTTCTTTCGCACGTCAACTATCTTAACTTGAGTTTGGGTTCTGCAGGACTTGGTCCAGTGATTCAAGAAAGTGGGGTTCAGGCAAAGGCAACAAGGCCCCTCCTTATGTTAGCCAACTGAGTCAGAGCTTCCTTGAGTGGAATTTTCTTTATTATGATATGGCAGTCATGGGCTTTGCAAGTAGATAGCCCGTTTCTTTCTTCATGGCTTCAGAGTCTCCGCACAAAAGGCAGGAATCCCTTGTGTAGCCCAATGAGTAGTTTCCATTTCATTTTCCATTATCCCCATATAAACCCCAATATACTATAGTAGTTTCCATTTTATTTTCCATTAGCCCAATGAAGGGAATCGGGCCGAGGTTGGCTTCTGGAACCCGCTGCACAACCGCTTCGTATCGCTGTCGACCTCGGATGCTTCTTTGAAGTCCAGGTTGCAGTGCCAGACACCTCCACATGCAACCGTGATGTAACAGCCGCAACGTGCACCTCCACATTTTGTCAGCTATGCATTGGTAACCCGACAATGGCAAGCAGGAAAGGTAATCATTTGCGAAGCTATTCTCCATAGTGATTCAGGATGTTTACGGCTCTTCACACAAAGCGCCGCAAGATTTCCCAAGCGGCTGGACATGGCAGATGTTCCAGGCAGGGCTTACACATGCTGGGTCTAGAATCTAGAGTGCTCCTAACCATGAGACCTCTAAGCACCGTCTGAATGGAGCAGCGTCGGCATTCTTATTGGTGAGACATGTGTTATTGATCTTGGAAAGTTCCTCTCCTCTGCCACAATTTTCTCATGTGACTACCACCAGAACAATTCAACTCTAGTTCCAGTGACAGTTGGGAGACAAATTACATCCTGAATTCCAACGTCCTTTCTATGTTCAAGGTGCCTACCATGATCTAGATTTCCTGTCTGGCAGGTGAAAGTAATTGCTGATGCAAGCTGGGAGTCCAACGACATTGCCTGGTCTTACTCGTGAGCAGCATTTGCAGGAGATGACGGTCTGCAGAAAAAGGTTTTTTCCCGGCTGCACACAAAGCTCATCAATTAGTCAATTAGTAAAGACGGGATTCATGATGAGTAGTTCCCCATGGCAGGTATGCCAGTGAAACCGCTAAGGGCTTGTCTTGGAGGTGCGTATTGCGCTCTGGTGGGGCCAGGTACGACTGCCGCATACTTTTCAAAGGGCGAATCGCGCCAAAAACCATTGGACCACATTCCTTAATCAACAGAGCATGTGCAGAATACTTGTCACTAACTTGCCCTAGATGGATGGAGGGCAGCAAGGGATGCTGAGCTTTGACGTCCTTGCGATTCCAATGTCTTTCCACGATGTCAGCCCCAGCCACAATCCCAATGCTCGACAACGTCAGAGTCTACGAACCTAACCTCTCCGAGTTGCCCCTGCGGATGATTGCCCTGTGCGGCTGGTGCCTGTGGTTGCCCTGCCTGTGCTGGTGGTGAATGTGGTGAAGTAGGCCTCTCTACTGAAGCCTGCGGACGACGCACATGACCCATGGCCACCACGCTGTTGTGCCTGAAGTATACTGGAAGGTTCGTATCCTGAAGTATACTGGAATGTACGTATCAGGAGAACCTTGCCTGCCTAACATGAATTGGTCACATTCCCAGAACAATCCCCGTGCAAGTTTGTACAATTCATTACCCACAGCGAAAAGTGGGGAGCTGACGCTGTTGATCAGGCACGTTTCCTTAAAGCGCCGCGTCACCACTTGCAGTAGGCAGCTCAAGAACAGAGTACGGCGATCATGGATGTCAAGCTCACTACCCTGGGCATCAAGAAAACCTGGCCGTCCTGACCAAGGCTCTCACCAACAAAGCTGAAGTTGGCCGGCAAGCAACTCTCATCAGCACGGTCAACAAGGATTTCAATGCACTCTGCACCTACGCGGTTGACCCCACCTTTGGCTTGACGTATGCGTGCAACTTTTGTGCGAGGCCTGGCATCTGCTTGAACACTGGCACATGAGGTTGGCTCTGAGACTCTGAGGTTGTTGATGTGGGATCTCCACAGTTCAGTGGGCATGAATCTGAATTCTGATCCAACCCTACAAGCGATACCGAGGGCCATGCAAGCAAATTGAGACGCGGGCTCAAGTCATTCAACCAATCACTATCTTCATCAGCGCGTGACATGTCAAAACCTTTGGGATCCATGGAACGGACCATACGAAAAGTGCCATGCTCTTCACCAACACTGACACCAGTAAGACCAATTTCTTCCAAGGCTAGCATGGACTCCTCCTCTGCAAAAGAAATTCCAAACTCAAGTCGATTGACACGTCCTTTGTTGACCTGACCTGGCTGGGCTGCACTTGATACGGAGGCACTGGCGGATGAACCTGGTGCATTACCTTGCTCAAGCTTTTGCACATAACCTTGCGCCTTTTGCTGAGACATGAATGCATAGGAATCACGCTTGAAGTGTCCAGGCCTCTTGCAAAAGTTACAAACTTTGGCACCTTTACCTCCGGCATCCTGACCTTTGCCTTTGCCCTTCGCCTTGGCACCTTTGACTTTCCCTGGAGCCGCGTGTCCTTTGCCTTTACCCTTGGCACATTTACCCGACCCTTGCCTTATCGGTCTACGCCGCTTTCCTTCATCCTTAACCCTATCTATCTGCATAGGGGCTGAGGTATCGTTAGCGTCTGCCGTAGGGTGAGAGTTAGCGAGGGCATCGTTCCAACGTGCTTGGCCATTCTCCCAACGTTCAATGAGTCTACGAAGGTCATTGTACATGCTGCTCTCAGTCACATGGATCATGGCCTGAGTCTTCAACTGGCCACTGAGGCAACGAAGGACTGACGCAAGCTTAGCATCATCACTCATGACTGTCCCTGAAAGGGACTCGTACTCATGAACTGCAGATTCAAGTTTCGAAGCTGTTGAATCAATCCGACCTTCATATTGAATGCTGGCCAGGAATGCACCATCACCATGTGAATGAGTGCCAAAAGTTGGGAACAATAAGATGGTGTGAGGTCCTGCACTAGCCTTCTATAGGCCTCGAATCCGTTACTCTCTGCAATAGTCTTGAGCTTCCTGCATCTCTTTTCGTGAAGCAGACCTGCCAAGATCCCCAAGAGAAGGCGAGACCTATAACGCTCATGTGTATTCAAAGTTGCCTGAACAATGGGAGTATTCATGTTAGCACGAATCCTATGGATATCACTTCCAAACTCAGTGTGCATGCATGACAGCCACTGTTCAAACTGCCAACTCCAACCTGGCCACGTTGCAAGCTGCCTCCCTATCCTTAGGATCAAAGGCCTCAGGCTGCTTACTGACGCGGGCAAGATCCTTCCCTGACAACATGGGTCGTGCGCTGGATGAATCCTGAGGCTGTCTGAGCTTGCAAGAGGAGAGTTACAGTCTCCAAAACTTGCATCAAACGCTGCTCATCGTTCTGCTAAACTGGACTCCCTGCTCCACCTGTTGGGGAAACTCGAAAAGGGATCCGCATGTGAAGGCTGGCAACTGAGGTCAACTGCCTGGCTGGTACCTGGATTCAAGGATTGAAAACAATCGGCGCTCGTGACTGAAGATCTCTGTCAAAGTTCGCTGACTCTTCTACGGGATGAAGAAAAGATTCTTGCCTGTCCCAAGGAAGCGAGCTGGAATGACTGTCTTCAGCTGCAAAGAACCTGACTGCCTCCTTTAGATCCTCGTCCTTACAAGGACCTTGCAACCTAGTTTGATAACCTCGTCTACAGTATGATAGTCCTCGAGCTTACGCTCCAAAGTTTGTTGAATTCCCACAAGATCGTTCTGCCAACCGGACGCAGTCCTATCGCTCGGCTTTGGCCTTTGATTGAGTTGCTCCGAGTGAGCACTGAGCAAGGGTTCCTTGAGTTGCCGTGTCTGGCTTGCAATGGCAGGAGAGGCGTTCTCCTTTTGACACACTATGGCGCGGCTCACCAGGCTTGATCTAAGATTCACCGAAAGAGCCCTGAATCAAATTGCTCGAACACTGATAGCCTGGGCCCCTGAACAGCAGCAATCCCAACAGACCACCAAGAAACCCGCTGACAGAGTCTACCCTGTCCGGAATCTGGAACGGCACGCAGAGGCTTCAAGAATCCACGTGAGTTCCGAAGCTCTGCTGCCATGAAACTTTTCCTAGATATTTGAACGCCTGCAGATAGATCCACATGAACATGTGCACAACCACATCATGAGGCAAGTTACAATTGGGAACGCATACAGGAAATATTTCACATGTCCCAAAGGACCATGGAGTCAAATGAGATCACAATCACCAATGTTAACGTGATGTGCAGCAGTAGTATTCACCTGGCGTGAGTGGCCAGCTTCTTCGAATGTGACATCGAACCTTGTATGACTTTCGAAGGCTGTGTGAGGGAGCCACTAGTCAGCTTGGGCTTGCGGGGGAAGATGTAGTCCACTTAACTTGATCGTTTATGGGAGGGTAACTCTGCATGTGACGTTTAGTCTTGGAGCCTGTAGCATCATAGAATGTCATACCATCAGCAGCCATGCTAGATCCGGCCTCCTAACTTGTGTTGAAGGGTACTGAAAGGTGCTTGTAGCGGCTCTTCCATGGTTCGGCCAGGGGAGTGTGACCTGAATCAGTCTTGCATTCATGTTTCGGAATGACACAGAGAGGACCACATCAGATCCCCGCACCGCGCATGCAATTGCAGGAGATACGTCAGTCTTGGATGCTTGTGAGTTTTGCTGGCTCCCATTCGGCACGGGCTTCAATTTTTGTTTGATTTTGTAGCCATTCTGGATCCAGATGTCCGAGTGACGTCGTAGTCTAAGAAATAGAAGACCTCATAGAAGCCATGGACATTCGACTTCTCGTCGTTGCCTTCCTTGGCTGTGCGTTTATGTCTGGCGCATCCCGCACAGGCGTGAAAGCAGCTTTGAACCTGCACCAGGCCAGAAAGCAGCTGCCTGCAAAGGGATCAAATCCATTTATTTCAGGGCAGTCTGTTGTAGAGAAGCGGATGGGTTTTCCAGCAGGAACCAAAATGGATGTTGGGGAGCAGGGAAAAATTCTGCAAAGCTAACCCCCACAACCAGTTCTAGGACCTGGCATCGGCCACGCTTCGGAACAAAGCTGACGGGCTTCGGAGGTTAAGGGCCTTCAACGCGACGGGCCTCCGCATGCTGAGGGCAGGTGGGCAGTGGGCTTCCAGTAATCTGCAAATTGCGGTTGACTGACAGAAGCTCCTCTGAAACAACAAGCGCGAGTCAGCTGAATGCCTCAAACTGCGGCAGGGCTCCAGCAAATTCATATCCAGGGCAACACATTCGGCATCTTCTTATTGAATGAAGGGAGGCGTTGATCACCCATGAGATTATTGCACATCGAAATTTATGTTAGCACTTGATCAATCTTCGGATGTAGACGAGTCTGTTAGCTGGCTGAGGGCTGCAGATTGTGATTGAGCATGGCACGTACCAGTACTGGCCCAAAGAAGCCTTGAAGCTGTATATCCCCTATGCTCGCAGGTCCTTCCCCACCTTGTTGAGGTGTGCTGCGTTGTTTTGGAAGTATATTGCATGGCGTTGATTTTGAGAGGTGCGCCATCACAAAATGTGCCTGATAAACATGTTTGGAGGCGTGCACCGATTGGGGTCATCTTCTTAAACTCGGGGCCCCTCAATAAAATTGATGGCGCTAATAGACTACGCAACAAACTTAGGTTTTAAGCTGCACTCATGTCTCCTGTAGCCGCTTGAAAGGAATCCCCATTTTTCGCACCCCGCAGGTGTGGACTTGCCCTTGGAGGCTCCCTCCTCCTTTGTAGAGGAGGACTATGTGTGGGAACTCCCAAGCCCGTGGAATTCCAAGCTCAAGGCAGGGCCGTTTATGGGCGAGGTTCATGGTTGGAGCTGGGGCCCCGTGCTTTTTTTTTCCTAGTAACGGGCTGTAAGCCTCTGGTCAGCCACGCTCTCCTTTCCTGTTGTTTAGAAGGGAGACGGTCGGTTGGTCGGTCGGCCGGCGCGTCGTGACGCTGGCGCGTGGAGCGTCCTCGGAATTCTGGCTGTAAGTGGCGACCCTCTCGTTGTTTTCCGCGCGTCGGACGCTGGCGCGTGGAGCGTCTTCGAAATTCTGGGCGTAAGTGGCGACCCTCTGGTTATTTTAGGCGTGCCGTGACGCTGGCACGTGGAGCGTCCTCGAAATTCTGAGCCTAAATGAGGACCCTCTCGGCGTTCTCGACGCGTTGCGTTTGTTTCAGAAGCTTTCATCATGCTGAATCGGTTTTCATCATGTGTCATCAGGTTGTTTAACAAGTTTAAACCATATTTCATGGTTTATACATTTGTTCGTAATTTTTCGTCGTTAATCATCATCACCACATTTCATAATGGTTCATCCGGTTCCGTTATTTTCCAT